GCAGTGTTCGGAACCGTACGATAATTATCGTACACATACGATAATTTCATGTCTACGTACGATGTACGATATCGTATTATTATCGTACGCAGATTGTACGATAATTTTCATGCATTCAAAATTTATTTTATTCTTACCCTCTCAGACAATATCACGAAGACATTTTTTTATTCGCGAATATTTTTTTTTCTTTTTTCTCACAGCGCTATAAACATTTTTGTTATACGCAGTGTTAAATTTAGAAGAACGTGCCTGCAAAAGAACGTTATCATACTAGTATGTAGGTTTTTCCTCGGCAGGTAACATCCCTTCGTGTTGGTCACCAGATGGGTCGATGGTCTTCCCATCCACAATTTTGTGATTGTAGTCATGTAGCCACTAACCATAGCCTAAGGTCAAAAACACCCCACTAACATACCTCCACCCCCTATATCTTGTTATATTTAAGTATTTTTCTATTATTGATTTTTAATTTAAAGGGTGGGTGTAGTTCAGATCTGTCTTTTTACACGATTAATACGAGTAATTTACTAATTATAGTGATTATTTTGAAAAGTACGATAATTTTGCTCCATGTACGATAATTCTACGCTACAGGTACGATAGTTTCCTCGCTTCAGGTTGTGAACACTGGCTGTTGTTTTCTTACCTATGTTCTCCACGTGGCTGGGCATCATTGCCTCTATTTGCGGTCTGTGTAAAAAACCAAATCATAATTTGCAGTACACCCGTGAAAACGAAATGTGTGCTGGGACACATAGTAGAAGTGAAACTTCAACGGACAAGCGGGAAAACGAATGGCTACGGACAAGTAGAAAAACGAATCGTAACAAAATTTTTGCTTCAAGTTTTACGGGCAGATTGTTAACGTACTTGTCCAATTTGAAAACCTGCCCGTAAAACTTCAAGTAAAATTTTTGTCCGGTTTTTAAATTGGATAAGTACTTGGACTTGTCCGTTGAAGTTTCACTTCTGCTATGTGTCCCAAAACACATTTCGTTTTTTTAATGATAACTCTTTTTCTCTTTTTTAGCACACAATTTGTTCTCACATTTGAGAAGCCAGAAATGGAAAAAGGTGTGGCCGAGATAAGCGAAGTTAAATTGTGGGGGTAGTAGGTGGAGATAGATAAATAATCAAACTTAAACTTAACGAAAAACAAACAGTATTATTCCGGTAATTAGTAGTATAGGAATATAAACAACACCGTTGTTTTAATTACGGGACTTTTTAGTACACTTTTGATGTTTTTCTAGTATCCACGAGTTTTTGCGAACACGAGGCAGAGATATTGTCTGTTTATCAATTTAAAATCAATTTTAGAGTACAGGGTTATCGTCTGATTGAGAGCTCGTTCTTATGAGATTGTATCCTCTTCTGCCCGGTTGAGAGTTTTACGATAAAGTACATTTGACTAATTAATTATTAATTGACAATAGTTACACAATGGATTGATTAGTTAAATTTACAAGTACTTGTTGATTGCAATGGTTTAGCTTGAATATTATANGTTTTTAGATTGATGGTTTAAGCGCTTATCAAACTGATATATTTTATGACTTCTGCCATTTTTACAGATATTTAATGCAAAACTTATAAATTAACAGTATTCTAATAGATGGTATTTCCTTTTCTATGTCTGCATTCAGCATCAAAATAAATGTACTATTTTTCATTCTTTTCATTAAAAATGTAAGCTATATATGTATACTCTTTTTTGTCTAGTTATTTTCATCTATTTAATAACAAAGTGTTTCATTTTGAACATATTGTAGGAAAAATATGTTTTTTTTGCGAACCTTACCGCATATGTACTATAAGAAACAATGTACTCTGTCGTTGAATTAATCACAAAACTGTTACTTCCTGGGTAACTTCCAACAACAGAAATTGCTGATATTTCATTATTAAAAGGTATACAATAGGCGCCATGGATGAAGCACCAAAATGTTCCAAGTACTATCAGCTGCATTGATCGATTCATCGTTTAAATTCACCAACTACTCACATACACTAAAACGAGTCAACTTGAAAAAAATGATAGACAATCTGTTATCACTGTAATATTTACCTTTACATGTTTTAGTAATAGGTTTTTGTATTTTTAAGCAATTTTCACATTGTAAATGTTTAGTCAACGAGAACTATTTTATTACGTGTATTTAATTTTTGAATGACTCGCTAAAGTCTTATCTAGTATATCTTATCAATGCTACAAACATCTGTAATGGTTTTTGCGTTGAACTAGATACGACACTCCCTAAAAATAATCACTAACGCATTGAAGATTTATTTTTAAACAGAATGTGAAATTATGCCTCTATTTTTAAAATTCGATTGCAAGAAACCATCAAATCGTTTAACAGCATTATAGTTTGTTGTGCAACTATTGTCTGTTCAATATTATCTGCATGCTTTTCTTATTTACGAGAAATATTGAGCGATCCAGTTACCTTGACCATTTTGAGAAACGAACCTGCATTAGTAAATAATTACTATCTCTTTATATTTCCGGTTATTTGAGCTAACGTAACTTAAGTAAATAAGGTATGAAAACGTAGATCGATATTGATATGAGATATATTATTAACGATTATTAACTTTCATAAAGTACAAGTTATAATTCACTTAGTCATTACATCAGAAATGTCATAAATAAATTGCTATATAAAGGATGAACGTGGTGGTTACTCCTATACAGGGTATTCCAATAAATTAACTATCGAAGAGCAGCAACAGCATCCAATATTGGCAATAGCATATTTAGCGGAATCCGAGATACCTCCTACATTTCACATTAGTATTTGATCATATCACTTTATGGATATAGACACGCCGTATTAATCGATGTTAACAATCCGGTTTTTATGCAATTTTTAGTCATGCATCTCTTAAATATTTCCATTAGGTAGATGAAATAATATTGGTATTAATGAATGTTGAAATATTTATGGAATTATAATAATAAGATGGTCTACCTTGCCGTTTACTCAGCTCCTGTGGGCAAGGGATTGAGACACGCTCAATCTGTATATGATGACCGAACTTATCACTGCCAGTTTCTCTTAGCAGAAAAAAAAAACTTTTGGGTGTTTCATTCCTACCAGCCACTAATGCTGGTGGGCGGGTAGTCCCTCCATATTACGCCGGAAGGTAGGGTAGAAGGCCCTCTTCAGTCTCCTTTCAGGAATCGTGGTAATGGGTGGGTGGTGGTTCGGGTGAAAAAGATGAGACGGACGAAATGAAGACAGAAGAGAATGAAAGATTATTTGTGGAATATTACTGCCTCAGCATTTGCCTAAGTGATCCAAGGAAATCACAGAAAAACTTGGACCAAGGCAGACGGATCCGGAATTGAACCGGCGTCCTCCCGGATGCTAAGCAATGGACTAAACCTCTAGGTTCTGCCGCTCGGTCTTAGTAAGAGGCTATCAAAATCTTATATAACGCTCTGTTGCAGACGCTACCTTCCTTTGGCTCTTCTCTCGGCCGGGATGCATTTGTCTATACGTCACATGTGACCGCCAATAGAAAAGAAACGAAAAAAAAATACAGCGTGTAATTATACAACACGCTACTGAAGTGAAACTTCTTCAAACACACAAACATACCGGGATAGGGATTAAGGAATTGGTTTAATGGTATTATTTGTACACTATGAATTTAAATTTTACACNTAAGAACAAGCACTTGTAAAAAAAAATACAACGTGTAATTATACAACACGCTACTGAAGTGAAACTTCTTCAAACACACAAACATACCGGGATAGGGATTAAGGAATTGGTTTAATGGTATTATTTGTACACTATTCTTCGCACGGGTGCAATGCTTATAGTAAGTATACTATAGTACCTGCATTTTAAGTCTGTAATATATTCGAAAATATTAAATTAAATTACATGCTGTAAAGGGCCATATTGATTTATATTAAATGCACAATGTATTTAAAAGTACTTAATTGGATAAGGATTAATGCAGTATTGCTTAAAATCGCTTCGTAAATAAGCCATTATTTCTCGTAAAAAGTAAGGGATAAAAAATGGTTATTGTGGGTTATCCCTAACAGATAGACATATACCATCGTGGACTTTTTTGTAGGCCTTTTTAAGGTGAACAATACTGTAGTACATTATTTTGATCTATCTCGTAGGGTTCAGCCAGCGTTTGCAATGTAAGCGCAAAAAATTTGTTTATTTACATCACATTACAAACCTCTAAAATTATCAGCATTTCTCTACTATATTATGTATGTATTATACATATAAACCTTCCTCTTGAATTACTCTATTAAAAAAAAAAAACGCATTAAAATCCGTAGTTTTAAAAATCTAAGCATACATAGGGACAGACAGCGGGGAAAATGCGTTGCATGATTTCGTTACATAGCATCTCGCATTAAACGAACTTACCCTACCGTGCGTAAAGAAGTTTCACTTCAAAAACATCGAAAAAAAACGACCTTTCATTGTTTATAAACAAAAGTCCTCATACTTGTGAGCGAGCGCACAAGTTTATTAATGATCTACCTAATTTTTTACTAATTTACATGCAAAAATCAGGTTTAGTCCAAAGTTTTTCAAACAAAATGGTGATTTTTCAGCTAATTCGCCTGGAATAACTAATTAAAGTACTTCATAAGGTTGTTACATGAACAACTAAAAGTCCAAAAAAAACGAATTTACACCTATTACTATCATTAATTTTTCGTGGCAAATTATCCCTTTCCGTCACGATCATTTACAACACTTTTGGAAACCTTTCTTTTATGGCCATGTTGAGTTAACGATGTGAATGGATAGCAATCAGCATATTCCCATACCGACAATTTATTCCCAATAATGTGCAATTTCCGCAGTAATTATGTATCGCAGTTCACGTGCATGTCATACCGCTGTTATACTTATTCGCGAACGGCAAGTTTGTTATCCATAACAGATAACTGTACTAATTTTGAAGTTTTTTCGTAATAAAGTGTAAAACTAAATTTTGAGTATTTTTTTTCAAAAGAGAAACTTCGAACGTCGTTCGTTAACTGTCGTCTCTAATTCCGCTACTCATAAATTTCATATCTAATCATTTCGAAAGTCCTTATGTATTGCTTTATTGCTCTTTTCATGCCCTTCGATGAACGTCAATTTTTCTTACTATAACTTTTGCTTGTATCTGTCCTTTTCTAATATCGTCTTTCCTATTTTTTTTCTAACAACAGTATCAAACTCTCTCCGCCTACTACCCGCTAAATTTGATTTCGCCTATCTCTGTCACACCCCTTCTGGGTTCTCAAATGAGAGAACAAATTGTGGGATAAAAAACATTACCCTTAAAAAAAAAGATTAATTTGATCGGCACGTCAACGCACGCTTCACTCCCCAATTGCCAGTGTTTTGTATTCCTGTATTAAGAATTATCGGAATATAGGTGTTTTCCTTTTGTTAGGTTTGCGTTTGATTATAGATTTCTTGAATTGACAATGATAGTCCAATAATTGTAACAATACTAAATAACTTTATTTACACAATTATATCGGCATACTTCATACAGTATATTTTACAAATTTGATAAGTTTGATAATTGGGGAGTGAAGTGTGCGTTGTTGTACCGATCAGATCAATGTATCTTTTTTGAAGTGAAACTTCTTTATAGATGCGGAGTATTACGGTTTTTTCTGTCACGAAAAAGCATTACGGCCGCGTGGAAGGGGGTAGACGGTATATCGCGTGGAGAGGGCAACGGTTGTATTAGATGGATATAGTGTTCAGGTGCGCGGAGAGTGGGGAGTCCGCTAGAGTCCCAGCGGCGTGTGCTGTCCTCACGTGCTCAGCTGTTGTCAGTGTTCGGAACCGTACGATAATTATCGTACACATACGATAATTTCATGTCTACGTACGATGTACGATATCGTATTATTATCGTACGCAGATTGTACGATAATTTTCATGCATTCAAAATTTATTTTATTCTTACCCTCTCAGACAATATCACGAAGACATTTTTTTATTCGCGAATATTTTTTTTTTCTTTTTTCTCACAGCGCTATAAACATTTTTGTTATACGCAGTGTTAAATTTAGAAGAACGTGCCTGCAACAAAAGAACGTTATCATGCTAGTATGTAGGTTTTTCCTCGGCAGGTAACATCCCTTCGTGTTG